ACTCAAACTAGTAATATTTGGGGTCACAAGTTTTTGCCATGGATATTTTTGTGGGTCAGAAAATAAAAAGTTTGGGAACCACTGAGATAGTGTAATAATACTTAATCGTTTTTTTTCCTTATAAATTATAATTAAAATAATTTATCTGTAGACAAACATTAGATTAGTTCCTGTAAGTTTTAGTAAAACTCGGTAATTGGTTCACGACATATTACACACAGGCAAAAACATCTCTGTCTTTATTCTAGCAGCATGGGAAATGCCACACAAACCGAATAACCAATCAGAGAGCTCAGACCCGATTGCGTCACAGCTGGTGGACACGCCCATTGGGCTTCCTTCTACATTTCCGTAAAGTTTTTTTTTTACTTTCAGCGCAGTTTTCACATTCTGTACTCGGCTCATTGAGAGCAGCTGAAGCAGACTGACCCAGGGAGAGTTTGATAACAGAAAAAAATGAGTGAAATCAAACCAAACGAGGCTGTTCCAGCTGAAAAAAGCGGAGATGAGAGAGACTGGGCAGCGGCCAAAGCTTTTTTTGACAACCTCAAAACTAAAGTACCGAGACCGGTAAGCTAGTTTTAACCTAAATACAAATGTTTAGCTAAAGGGTGTTAGCTTCACTTTCACTAGCAAAGGTAAAACAGGAAGTTGGGAGTTCGTTAAACGGTTCTTTCTTCAAACAGCCCAAGCCGCAGAACGCCGTGACCATCGCGGTGTCCTCCCGGACCCTCTTCGACCTGGTGGCCGAGAGGAAGGTCTTCGAGGAGGAGGGACTGGAGACGTACGTGGCCCACCAGGTGGAGCACGAGCACGAGCCTCTGAAGCCGGGAGCTGCTTTCCCCTTCGTAAAGGTAAGGCCTGATCTGAACCGCACACCTGGAGCCACGCCTCCAAGCAGGTATGAGGAACAATAACACAATTAAAGGTGTGTTGCTGAAGGTTTATATCAAAATAAATTGTTTAAATCAAAAGAACCAGACTGTAAAATGATACCAAGAATCATGCTTCTGGGACTAAAAGTGGTTGTAAGTTTTGACCTGATTAGGGTGCTAAATTTTCATTCGGCAACACGGTGGAGCAGCGGTTAGCTCAAGTCCTGGGAGCTTTCTGGGTGTTTGCATGTTCTTCCTGTGCACTCGTGGGTTTTCTCCGAGTGCTTCGGTTTCCTCCAATGGATCTAAAACATGCATGTTGTGTTCTTATAGTTGTGGGTGTGCATGGCGTGTCTCGTTTGTCCCCGTGACGGACTTGAGACTTGTCCTGGGTCTCTCACACAAAGACAGCTGGACACAGGAACCAGTGAGGTTAAAGAAATGAAGGAGATTTTCATTTGGATCATCTGAAAAGCTGTCACCTGACCTATACTCGTGATATATAACAATGTACAAATACCTATAGTACATAAATGAATATATATGAAGGTGTTCGTTTCATTTATTATGTAAATGGCACTGCTTAAAATATACAATAACATTAACATAAATGGATAACACAATAAAGCTTATTTCCATTGTGGTCCAGCACATAATCATCACACAAAATCACTTACACACTAACAATAAAAAATAATTACTAATAATAAATCATCTAATTCTCGCCTGACTAACCTTTGGAATAAGAACTCTAACTCGACACTTGCATGCTGTAACCTGAATATAACAAATTCAATGATTCAGAGTAACATAGTTTACTGTTGAAACATTTCTGAAAGGCTCCGCCCACTTGGAACCACATACCTGAGCAATGTCAGAACCACAGCAAAGACGCAACTTCACAACTTCCTGTTTGTCCGGTTACAAAACCAGCCATCACTACTCACCCTAACGGCAGCGGTGGACAAAGTACTCAACTCTAGTACTTGAGTAAAAGTATTGATACTCATGGTCGAATCTACTCCACTACAAGTAAAAGTTACTCAGTCAAAAATCTACTCAAGTTAAAGTACTGAAGTACTTACTTTTGAAAATACTTAAGTATTCAGAAGTACATGCATTTTGCAGTGGTGGACAAAGTACTCAACTCTAGTACTTGAGTAAAAGTATTGATACTCATGGTCAAATCTACTCCACTACAANAGAAGTACATGCATTTTGCAGTGGTGGACAAAGTACTCAACTCTAGTACTTGAGTAAAAGTATTGATACTCATGGTCAAATCTACTCCACTACAAGTAAAAGTTACTCCGTCAAAAATCTACTCAAGTAAAAGTACTAAAGTACTTACTTTTGAAAATACTTAAGTATTCAGAAGTACATGCATTTTAAAGTACTTAAGTACAAAGTAAAAGTACAAATTACATGTTCTTTTTTCCTTTTTTTGTCACTTCAGTAGAAAACGAAACCAAATATTAGTTTATTTAGTTTATTTATTTCTTCATCATCAGTGACTTTATTTTTTTAAGTGAAGAGAAAATAGAGACAGAGAGAAAAACACAGAGAGAAGTGATTAGAAAGATAGAAAGATAGAAATAGCTATTAGAAGTATATTAAATATACACCAACAAAACACAGGACCACACACCCAACATCTGTCCGCTCACCTGAAAAATAAATGGATAAATACATGGAGGGCATATATAAATATACACATACCCATGCGTACTGTATATAAAGATATACATTCATTCATGCCTACATTCACAAATATTGTCAGTATTTACATACAGACATACAGTATATACACACACAGTGACCAGTCTGAACCCCCCCGGATCAGAACACCTGTTTGTGAGCAGTTGTGAAC